GACGGGCCATTACCTGTCACTGATTGCTGCAGTTTGGCTGAATAAGGCCAGCTGTATACTTGCGTTTTTAGTCACAGCAAAACGATGCGAAAAAAAGACTGTGACAAAACTTCCAAACTTAACAGTAAACAATTTTTATCGCGGAAAATACACCTCAACCGCTGGCTATGACATAAAAATCTTCCTTTCAATTTTTGCATACTTGCAATAGTGTACAATTTATTGGGATTTGAGGTTATAAATTGTTTTAAGATTATGATCAGAGATCCGAAGTTATGGCTGTTAAGAATTTTAATTGCTTGTAGCATGGTTGCGTTTTCTGCAACGCGGTATAAACGCAAGTGTGTACTTACCCTTGCAACCCATCCGATCACAAGGCATACGTGCGTGTGCTTGACACCCAACAAAATTGGATACGTACCCTCCAACCGTAGCTTCTGCAATATTCACTTAGGTACATACATATATGTCATGAAAGCGAAATGCAGTGATGGTAAATTTTGCTAAGTTTTCACACGATTTATTCCGTATAAAATCTATCTCGTCTTGACGTTTAATCTAATATTATTGAATGTAAAAGATCCTTTAAAAGTTATTATTTTTTAACAGACATAAATATGTAGAAACGCTCTTTTACCAAGACAAAGAAAAATACAAGTAGGTACAAATTTGTTTTGTGGAGATTAAAGTAGTTCGTATTCTTCGTTCCCCTAAATGTAAACAGTAGTAGGAGGCCTGCCCGAAGAATGTTTTGGTTTGTACACACAGACTGGAAGGGTCCCATTGTAGTGTTGGCTACTGTGACGGTAATCTACGCAATTCTTTCGAAGCTATTATTACGTTGGTAACAAAGCAAAACATTGTCCGTGACCCTCACTACGACTTGCTTCTTTACTTCGTTATTGGTGTACACGAGGGCGACAAAGTATCAACGATGTTATACCAGCTTATTACATTTAGGGTTTTATTTTTATTTTCGGAATTGTTGCTTTTAAAGCATGAATTTGTATTCCAATCATGCGAAGAAAGCTTCTTAGTTTTAAAATTTAGGTTAGAAATTTTTTATGTGATTTCTTTTCCAGTATAGCTCCTTTCTAAAGCCCACGCGTTTTAACAGTCTAGTATTCTCGAACAAGAATACCACGATATTATCTTTATGAATATAATTCAGAAAAGTGTACAGTTGTAAAATTTTGCTACTTATTTTTATATTTTTTGGAATACAATGTTAAGGAATGGAAGAGATGTTATTATATTTATTAATTAACTAAAGTTGGACTAATATCAATGTTAATTTTGAAAAGTTTGACATTGGTTACCGTTAAGGACAGTTGTCTATAAAGACATCAATGTGTTACCATGGCAATGCTTACAATTGCTCTAGTTAACTATTTCTAATCTCTATATGATGCAGAAAGCGAATTCATTCGGAAGTATAGAGACGTGCTTTTCGAATGTT